TCTTTATACCCATCATGTTACTCTTTTTTTTAGGTTTTAATGTGGATTGGGTTGGGGTGAATTTGTATAGCAATTGGATCTTGACTTGCTGGACTTTAAATCTTCAATTCCATTAAACCTCGGCCCAATTCTCCATCCCTTGAACTTAACATCTATTTTTTATTTCAAAGAGTATGTCTGAAAATACATATAAGAGAAATTAATTTAAACATGGAATAAAATAAAAACTTTACCCAACTTATGATTTTAGTGTAAAAATATAACAAGTAGCCTAAAGAGCCAAATATTTCATTATGCACTTTATTTTAACATAAAATGTACTAAAAATGTAATAAAGAACTAAAGTATGACCAAATAAAATGTGACAATTTGTAACGTATCAAATACCCCACACTTAGTCCTTTGTACGTCCTCAAGCAAAGTAAATACCAAAAATCAAAACTCCTTTTTTTAACACTAGAACTCAAAATAACTTCTCTATCTTATAACATAAAGTGATGTATTTGAACATTAATCAAAAATTAATCATATACCAAATAGAATGAACACTTTAAAAATCAATTTGCTACTTTAAATTCTAAATAATTCTTTCACTTCAAAGCTAAGTAGAAATTACTTTTATTCAATGTCAAAACTTTGAATTAATTAAGGCCATTGAGAATAATTTGAAAGAAATACATAGAGCAGCAAAAAAATGGTTAGAAATCCTAAGGAACCATCAAGTAAAGAAATGCTCAAGAAAATTTATTTTCTTTTCTAAAATCTGGAGACTTTGATTTTTTGCTTTTATTTAATATTTAATTTTTTTCATTGTTTGAGTTGACCCGTGTAGCGAGTCTCAACCAGGCTACCCCAGGCCCATTCCAGATAGCCCGGGACCTAAATAAACGAAGTATTCTTAGGGTTTCAACTCGAGTGCTCAAACAATGTTTTATTCATTTATTTTCTTTTATTTTACTTTTTTTTACCTAGCCATTTATTGCACTTTTTTTTCTTTTTTTTTGGCTCAATGGCGTTGGTTTTTTTTCTTATTATTTTAAACTGGTTATGGACGAGATTCTTACGGCCCAAAACAGGGTTTGCTCTTCCAACTTTGGTTTTCTCCATACACAACATCACTTTTTTTTGGGATTCGTTGCTTAAGGGGTCAAAGGTGCCGTGCCACCCATTCCAACCTAAGATGGTGTTCCAGTATATACATTATATTCATTTCAACATCTTGATAATATGTAATTAACCAAAGTTTAGAGAAGAAAAAAAAAATTTCTTAAGACTAACTTAACTTGAATAGAAACTTAGGACGAAAAAGAGTTAGAAAACTGCTCCATATACTTCTAAATAAATTAGGCACATTGAACTTAACTAAATAAAAGGTAAGAGATTAAATAAAAATAAGTTCTAAATAGATTTGATTTAAAAGATATGTTTTAAACTTTGGAGTAGAAAACTCATTTTTTAAGAAACTCAAACATATTTGTTACAATATTAATTTCCATTTAATGCCAAAATACAAACACTTAAGTGCTAAGAGATTAAGAAGTAATTATTATGAATTCTAATAAGTTTTTTTTTTGAAACACGCTTCCAACTATTATAGTTTTCTCTAAAAACATAAAAAATTTTGAATTTTTTTAACCAAAATGCATCTATTATGAAGGAAAAAAAATTCTACCCACCCCATGCTCCTCTAATATCTAGTATGTATAGTAAAAACATGCAAATAAATTTTAACAAGTATATTCCAAAAAATGCACAACTAAATGTAAGTGTCCCCCACACTTAATTCATGCAATGTCCTCAATGCATGTCAAAGTTATAAAATAAAAAAAAACATTTGCACATACTAGCTAAAGCTATTAAAAACATGGCACATGGAATGAGATTAAGGGACGAAAACATCAACAGCTCAAGAAAAATATTAATCAAAATAACTTCCCTGGAAAATATTGGGTTGCCTCCCACTAAGCGCCTTTGTTTACTGCCGTTGGGCCACCTTTATGCAGCTCTCCGATAAGTTTCCTTCTCCACCTGATAAATAAATGACAAGGAAAAAAAAATAAAAGGAACTAATAACTAGGGCAATTAAAAAAAAATTTCTTTTTTTTTGGCCGACACTATATACATCCCCATACAAAGGCACCGAACTCTGGGAGGCACTTAAGCCGACTCACTAAGATTAAGAAAAAAACAAATAGTTAATAAATTGAATAAATTAGTCCTGGTAGACAGGATCCTCAATTGTGATCTCCTCGATCTCTGGAGATTTTAGCTCATGAAAGGGTTTCAATCGTTGGCCATTTACCTTAAAAACAGCACCATCCTTGGGATTTTCAATTTCAACAGCCCCATGGGAATAAACAGTGCGAACAATGAAAGGACCAGACCACCGAGATCTCAACTTACCAGGAAACAAATGCAGACGAGTGTTATAAAGTAAGACTTTCTGGCCAGGCTCAAAAGATTTCCTGAGAATATTCTGATCATGTACTCTTTTCATTCTTTCTTTGTAAGATTTAGCACAATCATAAGCATCACTTCTAATCTCTTCTAGTTCATTAAGTTTCAATTTCCTCTCAACACCGGCTTGCTCCAAATCAAAATTTAAAGTTTTAATAGCCCAATATGCTTTATGCTCTAATTCAACTGGAAGATGACATGCTTTTCCATAAACCAAACGATAAGGAGACATACCAATGGGAGTTTTAAAAGCAGTACGATATGCCCATAATGCATCATCTAATTTTAAAGACCAATCTTTTCTTGAGGAATTAACTGTTTTTTCCAAAATTCTTTTAATTTCTCTATTAGAAATTTCAACTTGACCACTAGTTTGGGGATGATAAGGGGTAGAAATTTTATGCACAACACCATATATTTTCATTAAGTACTCAATAACTCTATTACAAAAATGTTTACCCCCATCGCTGATAATAGCTCGTGGAGTGCCAAAGCGTGCAAAAATATTTTCTTTTAAAAATTTAACAACAGTTTTATGATCATTATCCCTGCATGCTTTAGCTTCCACCCACTTGGATATATAATCAACCCCAACAAGAATGTAAAGATTACCAAAAGAATTAGGAAATGGTCCCATAAAGTCTATGCCCCAGACATCAAAGATATCTATAATTAAAATTGGATTTAAGGGCATCATATTTTTCTTATTAATGGTACCTAATCTTTGGCATCTATCACATGATGAACAATACGTGTGGCAATCACGAAAAATTGTAGGCCAATAAAAACCACATTGAAGAATTTTGTAAGCTGTTTTCTTAGAACTAAAATGACCACCACACGCATGATCATGACAAAAAGAAATAATACTTTGTTGATCACATTCAGGAACGCACCTTCTTATGATATGGTCTGAGCAATACTTGAATAGGTAGGGATCATCCCAAAAGAAATGTTTTACCTCAGATAAGAACTTAAACTTATCTTGCTTGCTCCAATTTGTAGGTAACTGCTTTGTAACTAAATAATTCACAATATCAGCAAACCAGGGAGTTCCAGAAACTTGCATTAGTTGATCATCAGGAAAAGATTCAACAATAGGTAAATCAGTATCATCAGTATCAATAATCAATCTAGACAAGTGATTAGACTCTTGTATAAGGAGAATCCATCTTATGAGTCTAGACTTAGCATCTTTTTTAGACATCAAGTACTTTAATGCAGAATGATCAGAAAAAAAAATAACTTTAGAACCCAAAATGTATGACCTAAATTTTTCCAAAGCAAATACAACAGCTAACATCTCTTTCTCAGTAGTGGAATAATTCAATTGTGCATCATTAAGTGTTCTACTAGCATAATAAATTAAATGAGGTAACTTATTAATTCTTTGGCCTAAAACAGCACCAATAGCATAATCAGAAGCATCACATAATCTCAAAAGGTATAGACCAATCCGGTGGTTGAATA